ACGACCTGATCCCTGTTCGTCTGCGTATTAAGTGAGGTGAATTTTCAGCCTCCGGATAGCATCACTGAGATCTCATCTTTTATTGGCCCTAAAAAGACTAAGTATTTCTATAAATTAAGCCGAATTCTGTGGTCTGGAAAAATATTTAAATTAAAACAGGTTGACATTTGATTCAGGTCTCATGTCCACAGTCGGCGCCCTCCTGCCACCGTCTCGGGCTCCTAAATGTCCAGGACTGTCGCCCAGCAGTCAGCAGCCCAGCGGCTCAAAGAGGAGAGAGCACGAAGGATGCACTGCAGGCAGCCCGAGCAAAGCAGCTGCAGGCGCCACCCGGTGGGGCCCGGAGCTGGGCTGCACACTGAAGGCTGCACGTGGTCCCAGGCCTCCGTGTCCACTGGTCCCTCTCCAGCATGGGCGTTGGGCCGCAGGGCCACGGGAAGCTGCCCGAACGTGTGCTCTGTGGGCTCAGGCGCTCCTGAGGGTACTCCTGGCATCGGCACGAATCCTGGCAAGAGGCCGGCACCGGGCTGCACTGGGCTCTCTTCCCAGGGGCTCTGGGCCTCAGCTAAGAGTGCTCGGTATCGCAGGAGCACCGAGGGCAGCTGCCAACAAGGACTGGAGAGCAGTGGCTGGTGGTCATCGCCGTGGTGGCTTGAGGACTGTGCCAGCGGCACGAGGACAGGAGGTAGCTGGTCTGGGGAGATCGGGGACCGCAGAGGATGGCGCTCTGGAACCGGGTCTGCGGAATCCCAAGCCTGCCTCAGCGCGTCGTGGTCCAGGAGAAAGTGCGGCTCCATCGCAGAGACCTTGGGCCAGGAGGACATGAGCCTGGAGCTGATGCAGAGGCAAAGCCTTGGGTGCTGCCTGCAGCCTGGATATTTATGCTCTCCTGGGGGAGCGGGGGGCGGGTACCAGCTTCTTTCGCGCCTAAATCACTTAATGTGTTCGAACCCTAAATTTTAACTAAACACTCCAGGGAGTCATTCATACCCATTTACCCCCCCCCCTCCCCTCCTACACCCCCCACCCTCCCTCCCCCACCCCCCCCCCCCAGGTGCACGGACACCCAGGGGCAGATCGGCCTGTGGGCTCCCCCGGCCATGCAAAGTAAAAAATTGCTTTAATCGAGACATCAACATAATTACGTCACTTAATCGTGTTGAAGCCGAAACCGATCGTGTAATCGAGTTGGAGCCCTATATTTCGGCGAAACACTCTAGGAAGTCATTCAATACCCAGTTAGCCCCGCCCATCCCCGCCCCCGGTGCACGGACACCCGGCGGCAGATCAGCTTCGGGCTCCCGGTCTGTGCAAAGTAAAACATTGCTTTACTCGAGACATCGACATAATTACGTCACTTAATCGTGTTCGAGCCTGAACCGATCCAGTAATCGTGTTTGAGCCCTATATTTCGGCTAAACACTCCAGCAAGCGAGTCATTCAATACCCAGTGAGCACCTCCCCTCCCCGCCCCCTTCTAAACATTGGTTTACCGAAGACACCGATGTATTTGCGTTACCCAGTCCCCTGTCTCCAGGAAATCCTCGTCCTGACAGCCAACCGCTGCAAAGGGCAAGTTACTTCCTCTGTCCTCTTCACAAGCTGCCCTTAAACCCAGCCTCTGAGCTGCATACCGGTTGTCAGATTGTCTTCCTAGGAAGGAAGGGCTCCGAATTTTCTCCCAACAGTTGTGGCCAAGAAGCGGGGTGGGGACTAGAGGCCTGGTGACCCACCCCCAGGCAGGTGAGTAGCGGGTGCTGGTACCCCTGAGCCCACTGCCCTCTCTGCCTCCCCCAGGCCTTGGAGTTCCAGGGTAAAGCTCAGCTCTGAGCTCCACTCCCTTAGTGTGGAGCTCTCTGATCCTGAGCCATCTCTGTTGAAGCTTGTTAACCCTTTGCACTCCGAACCATTCTGGACATTGGCTACCAGCTACTCGACGCTACTTTGCGGCGGAAACGTGCATTTACAGACCCTCGTATTATTTAGTATAATTTTGGAACCAAGTAACGTATTATAATGATATTGGACTTATATGAATTGGGTGACATCGAGGAATGTATATTTGCAAAAAAAACAATATTTTATTGTTTATAATTTTGTACAGTATGATAAGTTTTGTAACACTCCCCAATATGCATTGCAGGCTGATTAGTGCATGTTTGACAGTAATAAGTGGTTTGACGCCTGCCACCAGGTGTTTTCCTGTTAGAACACACAATGCAGTCCCGTTTTCTTTGTCCCACATCGGGAATATGTAGTTTATTGTTTAATCCGACACAAAACCCGCTGACATTTCTTGTATATATCTTAGTAATTGTGGGAAATTGATATAGGGTTAAGCCTCGGACTGGCCTGCTGGCAAAGTCACAAACAAGTCCTAGCTTAAAGGGCACAGTCCTCTTAGCATAATTAGGCTTGACCTTATGACACTCCCTAGATCTTATCTGGGAAAGCTAATGGGATGAGGAAGTGCAGGAAGTGTAACCATGCTCAAAACAAGTGAAACTCACAAGAACTGTGTAACTATGGTAATCACTACCTTGTTTACCTCTCACTATAAAAGCTTGGTGAGGCCTGAGCACAGTGGAAGTCCTTCTCCCTGAGTTGGACTTGCTCGCCTGGTCCCCCATATTCCCAAATTATCTTGTGTCTTTTCTATTTCATTTGTGTGCGGCTCCACTTCCAGACCTGAACCCTGAACCACGCAGGATGTGGAGGGAAACTCTTACGACAGTAATTTTACGATATTTTGATTTAATTTCTTGTGCCATTTCAAGATAAAACTTCAGGGAAACATGCATGTCTCAAAAAGTTGCATTGAAATAACTCAATTCCCCGTAATCACTAATAAACTGCAATGTCCCCTGAGAGGGGACATCCGAGTGATATGCTAGAATTCCGATGTCCCCTGAGAGGGGACAGCGGAGTGCAAAGGTTTTAATAATTCATCCTGGTCTACTGAAACCAGGGAAACTCGTGAGTCCCTGTGTGTTGGAAGAGCCAGTGAGTAACAGGGTACCCCAGTTTAGATGTTTTAGGAAATCTAGAGGCGAAGGGGGGGTTTCCTCCTGGCCAACACAGGAACCAGGATCCTTTGCCTTTGGGGGAAATGGGTGAGCTTTTGGGTAGTTTGAAACTGTAGTGGCCACTTTGGGGAAACTTTAACTTACCTAAGATAGTCCACCTAGGGCTGCCCTTAAAAAGAAAGGAAGTTCCGGGAGAAAATAGAATGCATTGTTTGATTGGTATGAGAAAACTTCTAAAAGACAAAATAGCCCTAACCGGTTTTGCTCAGTGGATAGAGTGTTGGCCTGTGGAGTGAAGGGTCTCAGGTTTGATCCCTGTCAAGGGCATGTACCTTGGTTGCAGGGGCATCCTCAGTGGGGATGTGCAGGAGGCAGCTGATCAGTGTTTCTAACTCTCTATCCCTCTCCCTTCCTCTCTGTAAAATAAATCAATAAAATATATTTTAAAAAATATAAAAGAAAAAATAACTCCAAAATGGGTTCTCTGTGGGAATCCTTATGGTGCAGAAGTTAAAGAAAACCACGCTGGCTGTTGTGTCTCAGTGGTTACAGCGTCAGCCTGAGCACCAAAGGCTCCTGGGTTGGATTCCCTGACCTGGATGGCAGGTTCAATCCCCAGGGGCAGACAATTGATGTCTGTCTGTCTGTCTCTCCTCTCCCCCCCCCCCCCCAGTCTTTTTAAAGTCAATGAAAATATTTTTTTACAATTTAATGGAATGAAATAAAAAACTTTAAAAATTGACAAGGGGGAAAGGAGGTAGGAATGCATTTTAATCCGAGTATTTCTGTTCCTTCATCCAGACTCCCAGGCACCTGGTGTTTCTCCAGGTAGCAGAGCGGGTGGCCTCTTGGGGAGCTGGCTGGTCCCAGTGGTGGGAAGTGCTCAGGGCGGTGGTTTGTGGGCGAGTCTCTGACTGGAGCTTACCCCTCCCCCAGCCACCCCAACCCCCCAACCCCGCCCCCTGCCCCCGCATTCCAGCACCTGCAGCGCCCAGTGTTTCTGGACCAGCCCCAGGCTCAGGCTTGGAGGCCCCCTGGTTCCTTGTCCTTTGGTCGCACTGCGGTGGGACCAAGGAACGTGGCCTCCAGGTACTCGCTTCTCCTCCGTCCTTTTCTGGGCAAACAGCGCTGTTTGCAGGAAAATAAAAAGTGGTGGCGTTTTCATCCCTTTTGTTCCCAGGGCCGGTCCAAGCAGAGCTCCCCGAGGCGGAACCCCTGGTCTGCGGTGTTGACGGGTCCTCGCGGGGCCGGTCTCCGCGGTGGTCTGGCAGGTTCAGGGCCGCGGCTGCGCGGAGCTCCCCCTGCTCCCGCCGCCAGCACTTGGGCTGGTTGCGGAGCCCGCCCCGTAGCTGTCACACAGGGAGGGGCAGCACCCGCCTCGGTGCCAAGGACTGTAGCGAGGACTGCATTTTTCTCCTGGCACAGACGCCGATCCATCTGGGTCCGTTCCCGCAGACGCTGTGCCCCGCGCACCGGCCCGTTTCGGTGCGGGAGGGTCGCCTGGGGCAGCGCACTTGTTCCCTGAGTCTCTGGCAATCGCACCGCTCTTGGCTCTCTGCCAGCGCTCGCTGGTTTATGGGCTTTCTCTCCAGCCCCGGGGCTCTGGGCTCCAGAAGGCAGAGGCTGCGAGCGGGGTTCACGGAGACCCCCGGTTTCCCGCGGTCCCGGTGCCCCTAGCCCACCCGCTGGCCCTGCGCTTTGTGGGTAGTTCTGGGTTCGGGTTGCTATTGCTTCTCCTACGTGGTTCTGTCGGAATGACTGTCGGGGCTGTGACATTTTTGGTATTGCACTGGGTCTGCTGGTTTTCCTGAATTTGTTAAGGGGTGGGGAACTGGTAACTGCGCTTTGAATTCCTGGGTGTTTTGCTAGGTCTGTGGCTTGCATCGCCCAGGACCCTTGATGACCCTTGAGGCTGCTGGTACAAAGGAAGGCTTGGCCCCTGCATCAGCTCAAAGGCTCCCCAACAAGCCACAGTGCTCACAGCGGGAGCTCCATGCAGCCTTGGACCCTGATACTGGGAGACCCCAGGGAGACAGGTGATAGGAGGAAGCAGTCAACACTGGAGATCAAGGGGTTCAGCCTCGAAGAGCTTTGCCTTGACCCCTGTCCTGGGAACAAAAGGGATGAGAATTGGAGGATTTTAGATTTTCCTGTAAGTAGGGCTCCTTGCGAGATAAAGGACTGAGGACAAGCAAGTGGCCTCTAGGTCAGTGAGAAAAGGCCCACTTCAGGTGCAACCCAGGATTATGGTCTCCTCCAACAGGGGCATGGGCTAGTCCTGAACCCTGGCAGATGAGGGGACAGCCCCATCCCTATAAGGCATAGGAAGCACAATAAGTTATTTAATACTATAAGGAAATATAACTACAATCACATAAAATGTAATCTACACTAATAAAAGAGAAACATGGTAAATAGCATACCACCACTACCCTTCCCATTGGCTAATCAGCATATCCTTATGCAAATTAACTGTCAGCCAAGATGGCAGCCGGCAGCCAGGCAGCTGGAAGCGAACATGAGGCTTGCTTGCTCCAGTGACTGCAGACTCCAACGTTCCCCACCTGACTTGCCGGCCTCTGAGCTGCAACTCTAAGAAACATTGTAACAAATATAGAAGCTAAACAAAACCCCAGAAACCAGCTTTCAGCTGGCCGGGATCTCAGAGCTGGAGTTATACATTGTTTCGATTATAGAACGCAAACAAACCAGATACCTGCTTTCAGCAGCGGAAGCCTCAGAGCTAGAGCCAGAGCTAAAGCTAGCCCAGA